TCCCAGTCAGTTGCTTGTGGTCATTTCAACTTGGCTGTGCAATATGCATGCATGCTTTGCAGAGGAGCGCAGATGGTCAGTGTATTTATTTATGTCCCCAGTGAAGTCAAGCTAGAAGAGAGCTTTAAGCTTTAAGAGCTTTCACCTTCTTAAAATAAGGGAAAAAAGGAAAACTCTGGAGTGACATTTACTTTTTATTGGAGAAAAAAATGGAAAAATGAACAAAGCTTTTTGTCATTTATGAAATTTCTACTACAGAACATTAACGGAAAAAAACACTTTGAAGAAAACAAGGAAGCTGAGAGCTTAATTGAATTACATGATTTAATTAGACAGGGTGTAATATTGTCTCATGGTATATATATTTAAGGATTAAACAAATCGTAGGTAAGGAAAGAAAGCCGTCAGGACACGTCCAGAAATTTCCCTGCACATAATCCACCTGTGAAACCGCAGCTTGTCATTAATTAGTGAGTGCTAGAGGTGCCTGCAGGTGGAAGCTTTTTGAACTTTGGACAGACTATTACAGCCGTTTCTTTACTGCTTCCAGCCTTCATGCTAAGCTCCTCTCTCAGCAAGATAGCAAACATTTTCCAAGTGGCAGAAAGTTAACTTGTTCCAGAAACATCACAGTTTCAAAGCTTTTTAACTTTTTTAATTAAGGCACAAGTCATGCTTGTTGTAAGGAATCATGTGATGTAAAGTTCATCATCAACCCGTGTCTGCAAATATGTGCACAGGCTCTAGAAGTCGAAAGGAGCGCGCATACACAGAGTACAGACTGTAGCGCGTGTGCAGTACGTGCGTGCCGTCAAGCCTGCATCCCACCAATTTCGCATCTGCACTGACATTAAAGTGAAGCTGCTTTTGTCTATAAAGACTTTAATGCTGGTGCTTTCATTTATAATGCAAACACTTGAATCAAAAGGTGGCACTAAAAACTAATAGACCCATGCCAGCCTGTTAGAGTTTAAAAAAATCATGACTGTGAAAAAGCTGAAATGAACAGAAGGCGAGCCAGTAGGCGCATATATCTCATTTTTGCAGTTAAGTTATTCACTATACAGGTGGAATAAGTGAAGTGGAAACAGGCAAACAAAATGCTTTTGACAGTGTAATGAGACAACTGTCAAAAAATCCCAACGACCAACAGACTGCTGGGTGTAAACGAACAAAGCGAGAAGGGAGACCGTAGAGAGAGAGAGAGGGAGAGAAGGGGGACGTAATCTCCCATCACATTGCAATTCACTAGTGTGACTGTGTTTAAACAGATATGGTGCTGAAAGCCAAGAGTGAAACCAGCATTTTTCTCATTAGCACAACAATGTTGGCTTCCTTTGCACCTAGTTTGCTTCAGTGGGTACAAATGAGATGTTAGCAGCAGTGGAGAAGGAGACCGAGACAAGCAAGCACAAGCAAATAAAGACAGAAAGACAACAGCTTCGGGTAAGCTGATAGAGGAAATCAGGAAATCAGTGCGAGGCAAAGCTAGATATTTTCCCAGTGTTGTGCGCTGGCTCATAAATGCACTGACATGAGTGACAAATGTGAATACATCCATACAGCATGTGTATTTTAGTGTATTATATGAACGGCGGAAGGGGAACCCAGTCTCAGATTCATTCTCAGATTGCTCTAATTACAGTCAACAGAGGAGTACGTCAGTGTGTATTAACCAACTAGACTCTGTGCGTGCTTCTGTGTGTTTGTTTGATATTGAGTTAATACCATTAAGGCCACGAAGCATAGACAGAGACCCTAAATAAACACAATAACACACTAACACACTCTATTTTCCAGGAGGCTGAGTTGCAATATATATTCATGAACCCAAAATGCAATGTGTCTGCCTAATAACACCACGGAGGAAAGACTGAGTAATATGTGTCTAAACTCAGAGTGCAGACCCGGATTAAAGAGTGGTGATTAATGCTCAACAGTCTCCCACTTTACCCCCAACCTACCGCCTAAGTCTTAAGGTGGCTCAGGTCTTTCCTGGTCCGGTGAATGTGCTTTGAGTTTCTTTTTTCTTCTTTTGATGTGCGTGTGTCTATTCAATTTTGCATTTCAAAACACAGACCTTGAGCTGATGTGGACAAATGAGTCTGATTGGCAAGCTTTATTTTAAAGAATTAGAAAATGAATCAAGCTGACTGGTTTGTTTGAGTTTCTGAACTTTTGCTTTTATGTGCTGATTTTTTTATTTTTTTTTTGCCTTTGAAACTGAGCATTTGTAATGAATGAAAATGTAATGAACTCCTTAAACCCATCCAGTGTACTGCTATGAAAAAATGCAATTTCTGATAAAAGGTCATACACTTAAAACTTGTTTAACTGGTGACGGATGAAAAGGAAGCGTGAAAACAGTGTAGTTTGATCTGAAGCTTATGAAGTTTTTGTAGGTTTAGTAAGTCTGCATTTAATACTGTTAGCAAATGTACACTGAAATCTTTCTTTCTCACATTCATCCACTGATTCATTCCTGCATTTACATTATATTAACACAACCAGATACGTCATTATCAGTATAGATGTATTCTCCAATGGACAACCAGACTCTCCGGAGAGCAGCTAACAAATTAATCGAATGCACTTTCCCCTTTGAATCTCTTTGTTTAGATTAGATGTGTGTAGCCCAGTGTATTCTGACCAAATGTACAAATGTGTTGTGTACGTGTGTGCAAACATGCGTATGATAGCTCGCGTAAGTGTTGCTGCTCTCGCAGTGTGAAAGGTGAGGGGGTTAAAGAAGCCAAGTAAGTGCTATGAGTCGTATTGATTGGAAGATACTGGGCGTTGATTATAACCCCTGTGAAACCAGACTTAACAAGACTTAACGCTCGACTGCAGAAAGATATTGATAGGCGAAAAGCAACCATTCAACTTCTGTTCTTTGAAACTGGCTTTTGTTTTGTCTTTGCTGAGGAATTGCAACAACAGTGCTGATGCTATTTTAGCAAAGGAGTGAGAGAGGAGTGAGTGAGTGGGACATCTGTGAAACCAGCCTAGTGACTGAGTCTGGACATTCAAGTTTTTTTTAAGACTCTATTGTTTTAGGTGAAGCGGACTGAACTGAGTGGAAATAAAATCAGTGTAAAATCAAACACACAGCTAATATAAAACATTTTTCAAGGATCAGGATTTGGGCTCAGTTACAGAAGAGGTTCTTTCACTTGGTTCCAGTGAACCAAACTCTTAATGCTTCAGCATAACAAGACATTTTGGACAAGTTCATGCTCTTAACTTTGTGGGAGCAGTTTGGTGATGGCTCCTTGCTGTTCCAACATGACTGTGCACCAGTGCACAAACCAAGGTCCATGGACATGGATGAGACGTTTTTCTTATTTTTTGTTTTGTATGTATGCATGCACACCTGTTCAACTGCTCATTAACATAAATATCAGCCAATCACGTGGCTGCAGCTAAATGCATTTAAGCATGTAGACATGTACTCATAAAAGACAGGCTGAGGTTTAAACTGAACATCGTGGGGAAGAAAAGAAATTGATGTGACTTTGAGTGGCACGATTGTTTTTATCACACAGTATTTGAAAAACTGCTGATCTTTTGGGATTTTCCTACATACATCTGTAGGGTTTACAGAGAATGGTTTGAAAAAGAAAACATAGCCAGTTAGCAGCAGTTTGGACAATAGAAGAAAAACATTGCCTGGTCTGATGAGTTTTGATTTCTGCTTTGACATTTGGATGGTAGGGTCATTCGATTGTCACAAACAGCGTAACTGTATGGATCCATCCTGCCTTGCATCAGTGGCTCAGGTATTGCTGCTGACCATGTCCATCCCTTTATGACCACAGTGTACCCATCTTCAGAGGGCTCCTTCCAGGAGGATAATGCACCATGTCAAAAAGCACAAATCATTAGAAATACCGGTTTCTGGAACACAGAAAGGAGTTCAATGCACTCAAATGAACTCCACAGTGAACAGATTTCAATCCAATAGAGCCCCTTTGGGATGTGGTAGAACAGGAGATTCACATTGTGAATGTGCATGTGTGATGTTATCATTGTAATATGGAGCAAAATGTGTTTCCAGCACCTTGCTGGGTCTATGCCATGAAGAATTAAGGTCGTTCTGAAGGTAAAAGAGGTCCGACCCAGTATGAAGTGGGTCTGAGTGTATATATAAACTCACCGGCCACCAGACAAACAAGCGAACACTTTTCATCCATTGTTTCAGACAATAGATGAACCAGGAGACGGCACCACAGCCCAGCATCAGATTAATAAGTATTACTTTGAACTGTGAATCATGCTGCCAAACATAAAAACATACAGAGTTGGAAATAGTCCTAGCTCCCCTCTTAATCAGTCTGGGTATCTGATACTATTCAAGTTCACCTTGTTCATGCAAAACTAAATTTTGATGGCAACTCTTGTTGTAGCAGGTACCAAACTAGTTTTGTGACTGAAAAGCATGTGTAGTTTTCAAAATATCCCATGCCTATGGATGCACTCTGCACTATTAAAAATCACAATAGCAGTAGCACATGCTCACACAGCCTTGTACGTGTTATAACTACTCCTTACTTTTTATGAAGATCAACATCCATAGTTAGTTTAAATGCTAAATAATTTTCTTCCTATTCAACCATTAAACATTTCAGTCTCAAAAAACTGCATCCAAATATGCACATCGCTCACTATAATAATATAAGGCTATGTAATAATATAAGGCTAATTGTGTGTGTGCATGTGTGTGCGTGCCAGTCTGTGTGTGCTTTAGCAGAGGTCAGTGCGAGGTCGTTCCTGCATGCTACATATTGCTAGTCAAGATGACTGTTCGTGGCAGGTCAGAATGACCCTCAGGCCACGGAGAAATGTCCCTGCGCTCCCGAGGGGCTGTTAGCGTGTGTTGTCGTCCGTCATTGTACTCTGAATATTAAACCAACCGTCATGGCAAAGTCAATCTGTGCATATTACATTTGTGCTCTAATGTCGTGTCTCCAATGATAAGTGTTTCAATTTTCTCTCTACAGAGCTCCATGTACTCTCTGGCCCTGAAGTGTCTGATCAGCCTGTCCACTGTCATCCTGCTGGGGCTCATCATAGCTTACCACGCGCGGGAGGTTCAGGTAAAACATATGTGCATGTGTTGTGTCTCGCTTTACTGATCCAGACAAAAAGATGAAGTTAAAATAAAAAAAATCACACACACATAGCAGACTGTAATACAACAAGTTGCTATTAAATCTCTGGGTAGGCAATATCTCTTTTGCACTACTGGACAAAGAAAATCCATGATAACCTTTCTGCATATTGTGATTCAAATTAAGAGGGAACCAGACGTCTGCACCTCCCCTGGGCTTTGCTTCCGGGCTTTAGAAAATTTAGCTCATAATGCCAGCCTTTGGTCAACAAAGGGAGTCTGACAAGTGAAGGTTTGTACCCCTTAAACCTGCACTTTTTTCTACTGGCCGGCCGGGGGCAACCCCTCAGGTCACAAAAAGAAGCTTGATTTTTATTGCAACATACAACAAAACAAAACTCCTTTCTTTTTTTACAGCCTCAGTAAACACGTCCTAATGAATGGCGTCAAGTCTTATTTTGTAATTTATGGTCCAATTTAGAGTAAAGTAGTCTGGAGCATCCTCAGTTCTCACTCAGATATGTCTTTTACATACAGTCTGAGGTCTCTTCAGGACAGACGGAGTGACTTGTGTAAGATGTTATAAAAACCAAAGAAATCCAAGGATGGAAATAAGATGTGATGCAGTGGGTTAGGCAGAGAGCTGTCAGTTTGGAGACCAGGGGTTGAATCCTTTGTGACGCCAATAGCATATGATGAGCCCATGCTCATCTGGTGGGAGGGGAGAGCTGCATGAAGACGGGTATCTAGTTTAAAGTTCAGGCATTTCTTTTTCTTTTTCTAAATTTCTACATTTTAGAATCTGGGAAGTTCCTGAAACGGCAGCTATGTTTGTGTTTCTCTTTAGGAGTGTTTTCTCGTGAGCCTCATCTGTGCTCTGTCCAAATTGTACACATTATGTTATCATCCCTTAGCCCTCTGAGACAGAGGGACCCAGATGTGTGTCGAATCCAGCCAATTAATGGCATTAATGACAGTCTTTGTGGGATCGACAAAACAGTCCGCGTGGCTTTGCGTGAAGTACATACACACCGAATTTTAAATACATATTCAGCCAATTACAGCCCTGTTATTCAATAGCTGCACAAAAAGCACAAATAAATATGCAAACACTCACACACGAGTCACACATACGCAGCCTTACAACCCCTTGTAAGTTTGAAATGATCAATCAGAAAGGCTTTCATGCTTCATGATATCTGTTTTGCTGTTTGTCATTTTACTAATACAATGGTAGCAAAGTCATTTAGCCGGGGATTTCATCCGAAGCCATTTGCAATCGATGTGCATTGACTATTTATGGGAGCCTTGCGGGAATCAGACCCAATGAATACCCCCACACCAGCTATTACACCCACCAACGAAACCACGGAGCCACACTCATCCATCTAACGATGTGCTGGTTTAATGCTGTGATTTTTTTTTTTATTACATCACAGCTTGGCTGTTGCTGGAAATGTCTATTAAAGTTCTGCTCTGAGGTTCAGGCTCTCCGTTTGCAGATCGATAACTGCTCGGTGATTTTTTATTCACTGTCGTACACAGGCACTGATAGGCTGGTAATTAGTCTTGGACAGTATTAAGAAGCCAGAACAGTGCACGGAAGTGGTGCGAGTGAATAAACGTGGATGCGGTTTAGCGTTCATTGATAAAAGACCCTTCGTTTCTGCTCACAAATGTGTTGTCTTATTCACATACAGAGTCAGTCATCCACCCACACATGCTGTGGCTTCCACACGTGACAGGAACGTTAATACCGACAGAAGAACAGGAGATTGAGAGCGGCTACTGTCAGGCCAACAGAGAGAGATAAAAGGGTGTTCTGTTAATCTACTTCAGGAATAATTCCTTTTGATTAAATGAAGTTAGCAGTTTGGGGAAAATACCATCAAGGTATGCTTGGGTGGGAATGCCAGATGGATGGGGGTGGTAATGTTGGGGTTTACCTAAAATCACTTTTCATGGGTGAATGAGAATGGTGATCCCATATGGAAAAGAAATAGTAAAAACCTATATGACTTAACTCATGAAAGTGGCCACTTTCTCATTACTTTCATATATTGTTTTAGTAAGTATCCAAAACATACAAGTTTTATTATATAATTTTTCAAGGGATCTTATATCCGTTTTTACTCTTGTATGCTTTTCATACAAGTTTCACACAAGACAGATACAAACTTTATAAGATTTATATATATCTTTTCCATATGGGATAATTTACACACATTACATAAGCTGACAGACGTTTATATATTTGTTCTTTCTTCCTTTGGATGTTGTTTTTAATACTAACAGTGCTAACACTGTACTTACAAGAATTGCTAAGCCTAGAGACCTGGTTGCCAAGTTCCTGTCAACCAGTGGTTGCTGAAGGTTTCTGGGAATCACAATGAAATTGGTTGCTAGGACCCAGCCACCTGTCATACAACCTCCCCCATCCCCGTTGCTAAGTGAAACTGGTCGCAAAGATGTGTATATGGCGGTGTACTGTAAACCTGCATGCAATTTTTTTGGTTGCTAGGAGACTGATGCAGTCGCCCATAGTTTATATGGAAGACATCAACTTGTCTGCAAATGATTCGCTAACAGTAGTTAGCACACTTTCTGTGCAAACACTTGCAAACTACACATTTTACTAATCGTGAAACTGATGCAAACTGGAAACAGAGAAAGTAAAAGTAAAAGCTGCCCCTTTTCAAATGTGTTGGTTTCAGCAGTAAGGCAAAACTTTTAATTTGAAGATGAACTGTCTTTGTATCCAGTAAGTAAATATGCTTCTGCATTAGCCTTATGCCATATGGGTGACTTGCTCCACCAAGTGAGCTAAACCAGCGCTATCAGATTTCTTAAGTTTCAGTATTGCTAGCTGGTTAGTTGGCAAGTGTTTGCAGCGTCAACGTCTTCCATGCAAACTACAGCCGATAATGGCAGTCTACCTTAAACCAAAGCAATTGCAAGGAGGTTTTTAATGCAGCATCATCTTCACAATCAATTTCTCCCAGCAACAGCGAGCAACCTCTAGCAACCACACACCAACTAGGGGTAATATATAATATAACATATTTTTGTGATCTCTGAGCAGTCTCTAGCCCTGTGTGACTAAAACCTAAGATCTGGAATTGCTTTTGGATGCCTTCAAATAATACAAAAAACAGTTTGGCCAGATTTTCTAAAACATTCCATTAAGAGTCAAACCAAAGTTGAGAAAACCTGAAATAATCGTAACTTTTCCTCAAATGTTTGACCTGAAACGCTGCGTATAGAATCACAACTAAAGCATAGTTAAAATTTAAATAAACAAATGTGGAAGTGAAAGCCTTAAATTCCAGGTTTTTCTGGTCTAGAAGTAATAATACTTCCTGGAACAGAACCTTTCTCAGCATTATATCATGTAGAGCTCGTGACGTGTCTGCCTGCTCCTGGTGCCTGGCGAACCAGAGCAGCCACAAAAAATTAAGGATGATTAAATATTGATTGTGTGTGTCTTCTGTTTAGAAATGTTACAATGACTGATGCTGACTACCGTTTTGAACCTTAGGGTGTGTTTTGTTTTTCCACTTCTCCATCGACTCAGTCACTCATCCTGCGTTTGCTACAAAGTGAACTTATAGAGAACAAGTGCTGACAGCTGCTGCTACATTATTTACACTCCACTTGATGTAATGCTGCCACATAACTATACAGCAGATATTTATAATTATATCAGTCACATAAACAAACTGCAGAACGCCACTTGTGCTTGAGGCCTTAAAGCGCAGCTGTTTTTCGATAAGTACATGTTGTAATTGACATATTTCTCCACAACACAAAGAAAAAATTTATAACACAAACCTCTCAACAGGTAAACTTTATTTACAAAGTGAACTGTTTCCACCTACACAAACACAGTGGAGACTGCAGCTGTACCAATATATAATAATCGTATAAATTGTAAAATTATAAAAATAAAAGTGAATTGAGTACTCATTCAGAGCCCTCACATGCAATAAAATAACACTTTTTATTTTAGTTCCATAGTTATAACCTGTGTGCAAATATATCTTTAGCTACTTAACTCATTTTAATAATCATTTTTGAAATCCTGATGCCCAGAAAGAGACGAACCACTGCAAAGGTTGAGATGGCTGAGAAGTGTTATGCTTACCAGGCACTGATGACCAGTAACAAAATCTTTATTTCACTGCTGCTTTTGTTGCATCTAAGCAGAGACAGATAGACCAAAGGTTTGTAGTGTACGCTAAAAAAACAGCTCGCTCATTATATACTAGTGTACTAGCAAACAACTCAAATACAGTCCTGTAATTTGGTATTGTGGCCGTCAATTCATTTTTTAATGTGTTTTAAAACCACAACTGGCCAGTTTGTACTACAGCTGGGGAATTATCAGCTAATCCGATCACTGGCTTACTTGCCTATTTAGCAAGGTGTACTATAATTCACTACAATGCTAAATGCGATGTTGATCTTTTTTTCTAGAAAAATAGGCTTAGATGTGGTGTACCTGCTTGAGGTACTGAGCAGCTCTCTCTTCAGTGTGCTTTTCGTTAATGTAGAAAATGAGGCCCTTAATTATGGGTGACTTGGATAAAAGTTTCTTTGTACACTCATCACAAACGGTGAAATTAGCTTTAGAGGGCAAAACGGCTTTTATATGAGACTGTAAACAAGCTTATTTCCACTGTTAAACTGAACATTTTCACAGTAGATGAGTCAGTGCCATTGAATGGATCTTTTTCCCATAAATTTGTGATTTTTTTTTCTGTAAACTTACAGGACTTTTCCAATATGTAAAACTTTTCAAGTGTTCTCTCATAAATTTTTAGTTCTTTCTTGTAAATTTGCATGGGTTTTATTTGTGGGGTTTACTCCTAAATATGTCTTTGTTTTGTTTTTTCAAAACAAAATGTAATTAAAACAGGAATTAGAATATAAAGTGTGTCATGAGAGTGAGAGGTAGCAGATTTTTTTTTGTATGCATACAAATGT